GGTCCTTTTCGCCGACTGCCGTGAGTGCACGGGGGCTCCCGCCTCCGTAACATAGGGCATATGAAACTAAGACGGGAATTCATTTTCTTCAGTTCATGGACAACCCTGTCTCTTGGAAGGAGTCGATTGATGCTTCTTGCTCTTTGCAGCGCCGTTTATGGATATGCGCTTAGACAAAAGATATGAGCAAAAATTTGCGGCGTGTCCTTGTTAGACCTCTTCTTTGCTGGTTGCATCAAACAGGATATAAAGTATTTCTTTACTTTCAGGGCAAAGGCTCCACCCCCATCGTCCGAGGCAAGTGAAGCTGGCGAGGTCCCCCCAGCGTAAGTCATCCTCCAGAAAGCTCTCTTTGCTCGTTGTCCGAAAAACTGTGGTTCTCAACACTCGCAGAGAGTATTATTTAGTTGTGTTACGCTGCGTTAGGACCATTTGTAACTACTCCTATCTTCTTGACAGTAGCTTTTGCAAATCGTGCATTAGGCGCTGGTAATGTTTAGGCCTGCTTGTATGCTATGTCATGCAATTATCGGTTCGTTTTACGAATTATGTAGCATTGACAAACTTTGAGTTTGTGACTGTCGTATCAGTATCAGTATCAGTATATTGAGGGATGTGTAGGAAAAATTCCTTTGAGTATGTTAGCGAGGAGCCATGTTTGTACCAAGAATATAGGTTTGGTGTTTCGACTGCGGTTGGATTCCTCGTTGCGTGGGGACCTCCCTCTCCCTCTATCATTGTACTCTTTTACAGCTTTCACACCTTTGAAGAATCTTGTCATCTGCAAATGTTGCAGGCATTCTTGTCTCTCCAACGTGAGTTGACAAAATGCCCTGAAGGGCTCAGTAATGCAAACGGATAAAACTAAGGCAAATGCTTGTGCTTCGGATTCATTATAGTGAGGAAAAAAACCTGCCGAGAGTAGACCTCACTCTCTCCCTCCCACCGCCAGCAACAGGCAACCGCCTAGCTGTCGACCGCCTGATATGGGATGGGCGCAACACTGAAAAAGTAAACAGATCGGATCTGATCTGTTTTCCACAAACACACACACAGAGAATGGGCTGACCTCGCTGTGCGAATTATGCATTCATTTGGAAAGCCTCCAAGCCACGGCTTTTATCGCAGCGTGATAGCTTCTGTTTGTCTATAGTTAAGAGTAGATGGTTATAGATTTACGTTTTTTTAATGCGGTCAACGAGGCAGACACGTTTCCGACGCCTACATCTAAGTAATTTTCACTCGCATGCTTTTTCATGTTTAGTTCTGCACACGCGAATAACTAAACACATTTTGCCCTACTATAGGTCTCCGGAGGAACCACAGTCGCCGACGCCAGTGCCGACTGGCGCTGCTGCGGGAGCTGCGCAGGGCAAAGAAGCCAAACAGAAGAAGAAGGCCCTGTACGTTTGATTACTTCCGTTTCCTTCTAGCCTCTTTGTCACAACCTTAGTGTACCGGATAGCCTTTCGTGATCGCTGCTATACCCCAAAATCTACAAGGCAATTCCAATAGGATTGTTTACCCTCAAAGTTTGCCTGCTCTGGTGGTGATTAATACTCACTTCACTGTGTACTGGCAGTGTTTAGGTCTCTGTCTTTTGTTCTGCACCGTCTCTCATGAGTTTTTTTTGTTTTTTTATTTTAGGAAGGGCGTCGTGCCTGCAATGCAGAGGTTTGTGTTTGACTACTTTTTCGAGCGTATTTATTCTCTACCATTTAAATTTTTTGGAAACTCCAAACTGGTCACCGCCTGTTCGACGACGACTACGTGTACTCTGCGTCCCCACATCAGATTAGGTGGCCGTCTGCGCCCGATCCCGGGCATAAGCAGTCGCAACCCATATCAGGCAAATATTTAGCTGAAGCGTTATTTACTAATAGTTGAAATTCTACCCTTCCTTTATGTCGCAGGGTGCCATTTACCATTATTAGGCCAACTTTAAGCAGTATCTAACCCTATATTGAGGTTTAGGGGACATCTCCTGTCTAATTGGAGAGCAGTCTGCTCCATAACCAACTTATGTTGCAATACAGTT